ACTCTTGACTCTTGATCTGAGGTCAGTGATAATGCTGATTACAGTCGAATGAGAATTACTGTCCCTTTGAAACATTGTAAGATTAAATGATGAATATTGGTTTCAACACGAAAGTTAACTATGTAATATATATTATTTGTTATATATTTTTAGGTTTTCAGAATGATTTTGATGCCCCCTTCTCCATCATATTCTTCTTTGTATTCTTCTCTGGCTTCAGTAAAATAATATAACATTTTGGAATGAAAATACAAATGAGCAGTCCAAAACTGGAGGCCAGAATAGCAAATATCTCTACAGCAACACTGAACTTCCCAGGAGAGCTGACATATGCTGGAATAAAAGTCATCCAGACTGCACAGAATATCAGCATGCTGAAGGTGATCAGTTTGGCCTCATTGAAGTTATCAGGCAGTTCCCGAGCCAGAAAAGCCAGAATAAAACATAAGATGGCCAGAAGGCCTATGTACCCAAGTACAGCCCAAAAGCCTACAGCTGATCCCAGAGCACACTCTGGAGGCCAGAATAGCAAATATCTCTACAGCAACACTGAACTTCCCAGGAGAGCTGACATATGCTGGAATAAAAGTGATCCAGACTGCACAGAATATCAGCATGCTGAAGGTGATCAGTTTGGCCTCATTGAAGTTATCAGGCAGTTTCCGAGCCAGAAAAGCCAGAATAAAACATAAGATGGCCAGAAGGCCTATATACCCAAGTACAGCCCAGAAGCCCACAGCTGATCCCAGAGCACACTCTAAGATGATTTTGTCCTTGAACTGGGTAAAATTCTTAAATGGAAAAGGAGGAGAAATAGTTAACCAGAGGATACATATAACAGCCTGTATGAGAGTGAAAGCCAGAACGCTGAGTCTCTGCTGTGCGGGCCCAAACCATTTCATCACATTACTGCCTGGAAGTGTAGCCCTGAAGGCCATTAACACCACTATAGTTTTCCCCAGAACACAAGAGATACAGAGGACAAAGGTGATGCCGAATGATGTGTGTCGCAGCATACAGGACCACTCAGAGGGCCGGCCGATGAAGGTCAGAGAACACAGGAAACACAGAGTCAAGGAGAAGAGCAGCAGGAAGCTCAGCTCAGAGTTGTTGACCCTGACAATAGGAGTTGTCCTGTATCTGAAGAAAATGGCTGCCACAACAGCAGTCATGCATGTTCCCAATAAGGCCGCTGCAGTGAGCAGTACTCCCATAATTTCTTCATATGATAGAAACTCTGCCTCCTTCTTTACACAGGCATCTCTTCTCTTATTTGACCAGGACTCAGGGTGACATCGCTTACAAGTGATAGAATCTGAAACATTATATTAAAGTAGATGTCAGACTTGCTCAGTAGATTTATCTTTGTTTTCTGTTTTTCATCTTTTCTTTGCAAGGAAGACAGCCACTACATGATTACTAACCAATAAATGGATAACCTTGTGACAGCTACATGGCATATTTGTTAATCATATGGATATTATCATTATTTTTTACTAATTTTGTTAATTGCCCCATTGGAAAATCAATTCAGAAAGTACTTTCAATTGTAACTTCTTACAATGTCACCCATACACATTGTAACAAATAACAGTGAAGCTGGCAAATCATGCTAAAGTCCTTCCCTTCACATTAATGTGACCCTTGATGGTCTGAGCATGACATAGCTGAACACACAAACTGTACCAATGTCCATGGATTTTGTCATTTTCCTACAAAACACAGAGACTAGAATATTGTATTTTGAATACACAAGATTTACATATTTTTTTACATTGGCATTTAAACCTTGACACGCAGATAGGTGCAAATTTCTTATAACTGGCATGTAAACCTGACTGATTTACAAATTTTGTTTTGTGGCACACTGAAGTGAAAAACCTTGAATTTTACTAGACCTGTCATGTTGCTTATTTCTCCCTCTGCACATCTGATACAGTCATAGCAGCAGACAGGTTTTCCTTTCTGGAGAACCTTGCGAGTTCATGGGGGACATTTCACATTGCAAACTGATGCAGGCACCTGCATGGACAAAACCACTCTGAGAAACAGGTATAGCTATTGACTTTGGAAATGTTTTATGTTTGCAAAACTTAAATGCTGATTTTGAAGCAGTGAAATCAAACATTATGATACCATAACAATAATACATTTAGAATGGTTATAGTATAATTAATAACAACAGAGATCACATGGTTGTTTACCTGTTGTGAGTTCTGTGCCCAAAATAAAGACTTATTTTGCAGACTCAGCTGTTTGTCTGCAGATAAAGATGTATCATAAAGACCAACTGTGACAAAGTCCA